CAGAGCGGCTGCGTCAGCGGGGCCCGAGCTGTGCCGTGCACTGCCGTCCTATCTAATCTGATCGTACAGTAGATAATGATGTGTCCGTATCGGGCAAGTAGTACAGAGGTCGCGGGTTCGAGCCCGCGAAAAGGAAAAAATTAAAAAACGGCTAGGCGCCGTACCAACTCGTGACAGGGGAAGACCTAAGAGCTGGGGGCATCTGACTAAATCTCACCAAAGTGATGGTGAGCAGTGCTCAAACCTAAGGCTAGGGACAAGAAATGTATTAGTTAGTTAAGTAAGAAAGGGAATACATGAGAGGCTTACTGACCTAGGGACAAGAGGTCGAAACTGAGGTCCCTAGGGCAGCAGAGGCCGGCTTATATACATGGGTAGATAAGGGCAGGCTGTGCGCGCTGGTCCATGCGCAGCTGGTTCGTGTGCAGCATGCTGACGCGGCCCCGGGGGCCGGTGAGTCAGAGTGGCTGTGTCAGTGGAAGCCCGAGCTATGCCGCGCACTGCCATCCTATCTAATCTAATCATACAGTAGATATGATGCGTCCGTATCAGGCATGTAGTACAGTAGGTATGATGTGTCCGTATCAGGCATGTAGTACAGAGGTCGTGGGTTCGAGCCCGTGAAAAGGAAAAAAAATTAAAAAAACGGCTAGACGCCATACCAACTCGTGACAATCATGGCTGTTAGATTGCACGCACTCCACCTGCCTGTCGACCACTTTGTAATCACGTCTGGTATTGGGACAAGCGTGTAATTACTTATCACCTAGGAACAATTACGACGAGTACACATAAGTAATACATTGTTTTATGCGTTGAACATGGTTTTGCTGATGAATGATGCTATGGGTTGTCTTAATGAGACCTTGTGATTGATACAAGAGTAGCCTTCGGATGATTCATACCCAGGACAAGCAAGTCTCCTCCAGGCAGCCTATAATAGAGCGCCCTTTTGATGGTCTGATGGTGGACACTCTATAGAGGACGAACAGTAGCAAGCAAAATAAGGGGAGTCGAATTTCACGGATTGCAGACAGATCTCCACTGTCGTCGCTGATGCTGAACTTGCTTATCTTCGCTGCGAGAACATGAGGTAACTCCCTCGCATCAGATACATCAATACGAACATGGCATGTTCACAGGAATCAATAGGTATAACACGAATGCAGTGAACAAGTCGATTGTAATAAGCGCCGGTACCCGACATGACATCGTCTGCGCACAGCTACCTTATGAGACGGTTATCCACGGCCATCCCACCGATGAATTTTATATCTGCATGTTGCATTTCTGCCTCAGCAATTGAACCTTCAAAGCGTCTTGCTCGATCCAGCCTGCGGCCCCTGTTGTGACTCGTCGCTGCCACATTCTGCATCCTACATATCAGCGTAGTTCTACGGCCTTCCGCCTACATGATGCAGTATGGTCTCTGGGAAAAAAAAACCCTGAATATGTCAGCGTAAAATTGGTGAAACCATAGGGTACCCTCAATCGAGATTCGACACTGGTGCGGGCTTTTCATCAATGCTTTGTCTACTGATATCACTCCAGAATGCGCCGTTAACAAAAAGTAAACTTTGCATTCTTTGGCTTGACCAAGGAGTGATATCATGTAAACGTTTCAAGAAGAATTGGGGGAGCAGTGCATGTGGTCTGTGGCTCTGATCGCAGTGTCGGGAAATGAAAGGTGCAACGCCCAACGTCACAGTACCTTGCATTGTCCGCTAGGTGAGGAATGAAATCAGCGCCACTACATTCATACATAAGCTGCACTTACATTGGCTACCTCGCATGATGGATGCAGGCGTGGTACTGTGCACGGGCTCGCGGAGAGGCATATGTGATTGATAGGAGTAGCCACTCGAGCCCTGGACACGACACCATCAGGTGGCCGTGAGTCATACAGCTCTTTCTCTAGTCTGTATCAATCAAAATGTATTAATATGCCTGTTGGATTCTTTTGGCTCAGATATCGCGAACGACTGTTGGAGTCTTAAATACATAATCCTATCCACAGTTCCAGAGAACTGTATTTATGCTGTTTCTGAATACATCTAAAATGGATCATTAGGTGTGTCTTCTTGATGAAAGCTGGCGCGGAGAGGACCTTTTGTGTGCGTACATACAGCAGGCGCAGCGACACAAGGGAGGCGCCATGATTGGCTGCTACACAGTCACGGCCACGTGAGCTGTGGTTGGACGCGGAGCTCGCGAACTTCGCCACAACATCTTAGCAGCAGTCGAACGACAGGAACCAATAAGCGGAATCGAACAAAAGCACGCGTTCTCCATCACACGCGTTAACTCAGTACTGGTAAGCAGGCTTGTATGGCCAACGGTTCTCTTGCGCGCCAACGCCACCTCTCTGACTTCACGGCCGCCTGGAAGGCACCCTCATCGGGAATCGAGCGGCACGATTGGCTGATTCAAAGGGAACCGTCGTCTCAGAACACTGATTGAATATAAACTCTCGGAGGCGTGGTGAGTGGGTGTCTTGGACGGTTCGAGAGGTGGGGCTGATCGACGCATCTCCTTTGTTCTCTCTTCCCATATCGGATGGCTCGCACAGCATACACCTGTGTGGCTGGAAGGTATCTTGGTTTCCTATATTAATAGGTACTCTTAGACACTGTGAGTCCACATACAACGCCTCTATTCGTCATGGCTGATTCTCTTTCGACACCCCAGACTAGCCGCCCCGGATCTCCTAGCGACTTTGTTCCTCATATTTCTACTTCTGACGACGAATTACATCCTTCCCTCCCGAAAGTCCCGGACACTGGCACTGACCATCTTAAACAACCCGTTACACCAACTCGAGACTCCCGCATTGTGGACGAAGTACAGGGCGCTACCCCTGGGTCAGCCAAGGCTTCCGCACAGCAGACTTTGGCTTTGAAAAGCGTACAAGGGAAACAAGCTAGGCCAGAGTGGCTGACAAGATTGGATAAGGAAATGAAGGATATATTGGTGCAGATGCCAGTCTTGGATTTTCTACAGCGTTTCGTTCGTGGAAAAGAGCCCATGGCTGAAATAAAAGCTAAACTCGCAGAAATTAAGCTCAACAAAGACAAATTCACGGTGCAAGAGCGGCATATGTACAATGATCTTGTAAGTGGTGCAATGTTTTCTGTATTTCTCTCCATCGCTAATGTTTTCTCTAGTGTGAATTCATAAACACAATTTCAGACATCTGCTCAGAGGGCGGTGTGTCTGGGTTGAAGCTTGTGGCGAAGGACACGGGCGCGAATCCAGACACCAGCATTGGCGGCGACGGCAGCAAGAATAAACCAGATGTCTCGATCTTCCCAGAACGAGATGAGACTCATGCGACATGTCAGCCCGCGATGAAGGCAAAGAAGAGCACGGCAAAGAAGAACACGGCAAAGAAGAGCGCGGCAAAGCAGGGCGCAGCAAATGCGAAGCAGGCGCAGACGCCATTCAAGGCCGCTACATCCTGGCATCGGGCCTCCTTGGTCATCGAGTGCAAGAGCTCGAATTCAGATGGACACCCGTTCTCATTCCGCCCAGCGAGCACTAGCAAGTCGACAAAGCCATCAGGGACTTCTGACAAGTCGACAAATGCACCAGGGACTTCTGACAAGTCGACAAAGGCACCAGGGACTTCTGACAAGTCGACAAAGGCACCAGGGACTTCTGACAAGGAATGCGATAGCGCGGCACCCAATCCGCAAGCAGAGAAGGATGTCTTCCTTCCCCAGGCAGACGAGGCCATCAAATCGAGGGGCCAGCTCAGCGACTATGCGATGCATCTAATGCGGAGTCAGCCTCGGCAATTTTGCTTCATGGTGGTCGTCGCGGGCTGCTACGCGCGTATCATGCGATGGGATAGATCTGGGGCCATCGTTTCCGAAGCATTTGAATTCGTCGAGGACCCGTCGACTATGGTCACGTTCTTGTACAACTACATGACGATGACACAAGAAGAGCGTGGCTTTGACATGAGCGTTGTTGAAGCATCGGACGATGATAAGAAGGAGATGATAGCGTGGAAGGATCGCATGGTGCAGGACAAGGAGTTGTCGGACTATCACATCGAGCGCTACAAGGAGGCTATGGAAACGAAATGGCCGATCCACAAAGTGACGATCCCCCGCGAAGACCTCATCTCGGCCGCGGAACTTGAGCCTAAGGTCGACGAGGCCAGTGCGCCCAAAGATTCACCACAAGCAGGTTCGGACATCCCCACAGAGGATCTGACGCTGCTAATCGGAAAACCTCTGAGCATGAGCAATTCGCCCACGGGTCGTTCGACGATCGGATATGTGGCATTCGATATACGTGGAAAGCGACTGGTCTTCATGAGGGATTCGTGGCCCTATGACTCGCCACTGCGGAAAACAGAGCGTATTGTCTACAAGGATCTGTGGCAGAATGGGGTGACGAACATTGCCAGACCCATCAGCGGTGGGATAGTCAAGAACGGCGACAAGATCCACAGGACAATAACGCAGAAATATGGGAACGCCGAATACGGAAAGGACACGAGAGCACGCATCCATTTCCGTCTGATCACTGACGAGGTTTACGAACCACTGGATAATTGCAAATGCTCGTATGAGCTAATTCTCGTTTTGAGTGAGGCGCTGCTAGGCAAGTGTCTCTCTGAGGATTGTATTCAGAGTTGACCGGCTGATTGTTTTGGTCCTTTAGCGCATTATCTAGCTTGGACCAAAGCCGACATCCTACACTGTGACATCAGTAGGGCCAATGTCATGGTCAAGCGTACTGGGCCTAAAGTCGGACAAGTTGTAGGCATCCTCATTGACTGGGACTTGTGCAAGTACAAAGACCAACTGAATAAGGGATCGAGCAACCCTACTCATTCGGTGAGAATCATGTCTGCTCATCGCTTATACACTGACTAATTTTATGGCACAGGGAACGTGGCAGTTCAGCTCAGCCATGCTCCTGCAGTACCCTATGAAATTGCGCCAGGTATCGGACGACCTCGAGTCCTTTGTCCACGTCCTCCACTGGACAATCCTCATGTGGTACGAGCACAGTCTGTCCGGCCTTCCAAGTGAGCTCCGTCGCCTTGTGTCCAGGACCTACGACGAATTCGAGACCTTTGGGGACTATGACACGGGCGGATTTGATAAATACAACTACATGCTTTTGGGGGCATTGCCGTTCGCAGATCTGTCGTCCGAGCCTCTGAAGGCGTTGACCGAGAATCTGGCAGAAATATGCAAAGAGCATTACAACGCATCGTCTACGAAGGAGCAGAGAGCAAAGCTTGGGGCTATCAAGGTACAAAAGGGCAAGAAATCTCCATCGCAGCCCCCGGCGGCCCCAGTCGAGATCGATATTTCCGTTCGCCACTACAATCGTGTGGAACATCAAGGAGGACATGCCAAGAGTTCTCACACAGAAGATGCAAGGCCGCTGCTCGATACCAGTACCACGCCCAAACTACAAGAGCATTTCTGGATCTGGCACGCATTCAGGGAAGTGATCGAAGATATGGAGAAGAACCGCTATACGCAAATTACCATCGATAAGGTGGACAAACCTCAGTTCACGCCCGCCACAGAATCAGCCACGCAACAAAGCACGAGGGGTCAGAAGCGACCATCGCAATCGTCGGGCGAATCCACTCGCTCAAGCAAGAAAGCCAAAACGACGCACGGGACACGCACTATGAGCTCCTCTATGGGCACCATCTTTGAGGAGGATGAGCACTCCGGCGACGAAACTTGATCCACGCCGATGCTGGGCTTTGCGATTGGACATGATGCGATTAGAGTGGCGGATATTGGTTTGTATGGAAGCACTTTTGACTCCGTTCCCTTGTATCGACACTGACAATGCCGAGTAAATGATGGTATTTATGAATCACCTCGTTTCCCGTATGTATAGTCGACGTGCTCGTTTGGTTTCGAATGCTAATATTTGTCTATGATGATACACACGAGAAGGTTATTGAATCACGGGCACCCGTAAGTACGGTGACGCACGTCTTGTGTGCGAGTGACCGCCATCCAATGGCCCCACCGTCAGAGTAGTCAGAAAACAAGGTCGCTTGCAAAAGGAGACCTAGCGCGCCACATGACGCGCTCCCTCAACGTATTCTATGCCGCCATCCCATGCACCGGAGGAGAATTCTACTTCTATAACCTGTCTACCAATATTGCGACCCTACCGCACGTCAAGTACTGTACGCGTCAAATGCAGTCCGCCCAAGTTGATCATGACAGGAGTCTAATACAATAGCTGCTTTCGCATCAACACTAGTAGTATACGATAGTCCAAGCAAGAACAACATGCCGGAGATGCCTAACACCCCATTAGACCATCAGTGACATATCGAACACACACGCATAAATACCGCCCAGTGCCTGCGGGTTTCCATGGACAGCATTTTTTAATCAGATGCTCGGACCGACGGCGGCAGGCAGAAAGACAGAAGGAGCTTTGTAGGGCGCCGCTGAAAGACCTGGCAGAGCGAAGCCCGACATGCACCAGGGAGGCACTGTCTGATAGTTGGACGTCGAACGTGGGCGTGGGCGGCGACGTCATGGCTATTATACCTGACGCACGTGTTGTGAGGGAAGAAGGAACGGAAACCGGAATGCGCGCATCTGAGCTGCGGGCAGAGGTCAGTTGCAAACTCGTTCCTCTCTCTCTATCTGCATAAGGGGCTGTGAAAGCCTAGTTCTGAACCATGGCGCCAGCCGCTGAGCGAACCGGCTCGATGCGACCATAGCGGGCGACGTCATATGGGCAGTCGGTGGGCTTACTAAGCAGCCTGCAAATGAGCGCCCATTGACGATATATTAGGCTAATGGCACGTGCGTCGATCGTCGGGACGGAGGTCGCCCAGTGGAGAAACATGGGCTTGAGCTCTACCACTCATCCACATCCTACTTATTGCCTGCGTCTCTGCGTCTCCCCCTAGCCTCTAATTTATTACCAATAAATACTCACCTTTCTCTCCTCAGCACCCTCTCGCAGGCCTCCGATAGACTGCATTGCTTTGCAGGTGCAGCACCACCGGGACTACACGATCTAGCCTAGGAGTCATCAGGACTCCTACTGGGTCGTCAAGTCTCACCCATCCCTCAGTGTATGAGCCAGCTTCATGTCTACTTCCTTCTACGGCAGCAGCAGGCGTTCCGGCGTCAGCTCGATACCTGCGGAAGTAATGCCCGCGCACAGTCCTCTACCCGCGGGCTGAGCAGCAGCGGCGGAAAGTCATGGAACAAGAAGAGTCCACTCGGCGCCAGGTCCAGCGTCGACGTCAATGCCCGCGACCCCATGGGCAGGACCGTCCTCCACCTCGCCGCTGCCGCCCAGGACCCCGCCGCGACTGAGTATGTCCGCATGCTCCTCGCGCACCCTGATATCCTCGTCAACTTCCCCGACAAGGAGAGCCACTGGACGGCGCTGCACCGTGCCCTCTATCACGGCAACATTGCCACCGCGGTGGTGCTCCTCCAGCGCACCGACATTGACCCCTCTGTCCGCGACTGTGAGGGCTACACCGCATTTGACCTGTACAACTCGACCCTCGAGGGCACGAAGCCCGACACAGATGATACGACCTTTGCGGACCTGTTTACATGGGGTGTGAACAGGAATGCGACCCTTGGCCTGGAGAACGGCGACGATAGGCTGTTTCCTGAGCAGGTCGTCATACGCCCGCCGGAGGACGTGCCGGAGAACGAGCATATCGATGTGCGGTTCTCCTCCATCCATGTCGGGGACGCTGCCATGTCGAGGCTTCACACAGGTACGTCATTCCGCGATCGTCGTCGTCTTATCTCGCATGTCTGAGCATGTGACAGCCGTCATCACCTCGGAAGACCGAGGCAATCTGCGTGTTTGCGGTTTTGGGAACGGCGGACGGTGAGCACCGCAGAGTTCTTCCTTTTCTGGACGCTCATCGTTTACCGTCCATCCATTTCAGGCTTGGCCCAGGCCAGCACACGCAATATGGCCTCGTCCCGCTGCCCCAGCTGTCCCACACCATCGTCTCTATCGCGCTGGGACAGGACCACACCCTCGCACTCACCAAATCTGGCGAGGTGCTCAGCTGGGGCTTGAATCGATTCGCGCAACTGGGGTATGTCGTCGACCAGCCCGCAAGTGCTGGAGGCTTGGGGCGCTCGGAGGAGCCGATACAGGCGACGCCCCGGAAGGTAGCGGGTCCGCTGAAGAACAAGCGCGTGCTCGGTGTCGCGGCCTGTAAGACAGCATCCGCATGCTGGACGGAGGCCGAGGTATATACATGGGGGACAAACAATGGCCAATTGGGTGAGTTCTAGTCCAAGGCCTGCATGGGAAAGTCGCAGGTCTCATGAGGTAATAGGATACGATAAATCCGCTCAGCCCGTTCAGGTGCTGCCCAGGGTCGTGACCAAAGTGTCGCAGCCTGTTATTTCCGTCTCGATTACAGTATGTAAATCGAACGCTATCTTGATCTCGGCCCGTTGAATAACCTTTTGACGCTACAGGACAATGCATTGGTCTGTCTACTCGTGACGAATGACGTCGTCTGTCTCTGGAACGACAGGCATTCCAAAGTAAAGTACGTTCGTTGTTCCCGAGCCTCACTCACGGCAGCAGACATCTCACTGTCGTCCCCAGCTTCCCTGCACATGCTTTTCCCTCTGAGATTACCGTATACCGGCCCCCACAGGCTGTGCACAACACGAGCATCAGGAAGATCACTAATTGCGATAATACCATCGCCGCGCTGTCCACGAACGGGGAGGTGTTCACCTTCACGGTGCCGGCGCCTTCCGATGCCAGTTCTGGCACAGACAGAAACAAGGGCAGGAACACGATTGTCCCGCAGCGCGTTTGGGCCCTGCGCAAGAAGGTCACCGCCGTTAGAGTGCGTGCACACGGGTTCCCTTCGTCCTTCTTGGGTGTTGTATCTGACAGTCGACCACAGGACGTGGCGCTCGGCGCAGACGGCTCGCTCATCGTCTGTACCGAGTCCGGGCATGTCTTCGTGCGCGCGCGCGTTGCCAAGGCAGGCCAGGGCGCAGGCACCAGGGCGCTCAAGTTCCAGCAGGTGCCCTACATCCAGCGCGCGGTGCGCGTGTACGCGAACGCCACGGGCTCATATGCGGCGCTGCGCGTCGAGCACCGGCCCCCGCCGATCAAGGTGGCAGGGCATACGCTCGCGCAGGACATGGCAGAGGTGCAGCCGTACATGCGGCACCGCACGCGGGAGGCGGCGGGCCCGGAGGTCAATGGCACAGGCGACCACGGGAAGCCGCCAGAGGTGTCCTCGGACCCCGATGACCAGCTGGACGAGGAAGGTGAGGACCTGGCCATCCAGCGGGACATCAAGCAGATAGAGCTGCTGTGCGGCGTGCTCGAGACGATGCGCGAGCAGGGCGACTCGGCGGGCCTATATGACGGGCGGATGCCGTTCGGCGCCGACCTGCTCGTGCAGGTCGGCTCGGCCGCCTGCGAGTTCCCCGCGCACCGCGTCGTGCTCGCAGCGCGCTCTGCCCCGCTGCGGCACCTCCTGGCCAGCGGGACGCCCGTCCAGGACACGGCGGCGCTGCTCACCGCAGAGCTGCTCACCGCGGAGGCGAGCGCGAGCACGCATGCGAAGCTCGGGTTCGCGGGGTGCCAGCCCCTGTCTGTGCTCATCCTGCTCGCGTACCTGTACTCCGACGACCCCCCGGCGCTGTGGGACCCCCGCGTGGGCCCTGCGGTCGGGCGCCGCCTGGTGCGGTTGGGCAGCAAGCCCGAGCAGGTCAAGGCGGAGCTGAAGGCGTTGGCGCGCATGCTCCAGCTGCCGCTGCTCGCCGATGTGCTCGACGCGCCCGTGAAGCGGCTCCCGAAGCCGAGCATGGGCGGCGACATGCGCCGGCTGTTCGAGGCCAGTCAGAGCTGGGGCCCCGCGTTGGCGCGCTCGCCGGACGCGCCGGACGTGGTGTTGCGGCTCGCGGACAGGGACGTGTATGCCCACTCGACGATCCTGCGCGCGCGCTCGTCGTTCTTTGCGACGTTCTTCGACGACGAGGACTGGACGCGGGACCGGTGGACGCCGGAGGGCATGGTCGTCGTCGACCTGAAGCACCTCCGCTGGCGCGAGATGGAGTACGTGACGCGCTTCTTGTGCTGTGACGGGGACCAAGAGATGTTCGACGTGCTGGGTGAGTGCGACTGGATGGGCGGTCGCGGTCCGCGTTCGCTGACGACGTGCTTTAGAGCAGGTGCACTCCGTGGACGAGATGCTGGACTTCATGTTCGAGGTGCTGTCTGCTGCGGTGCGTCGCTTCTCTGCTCGCCACGACGCGCGCAACTGAGTCAGCATTGCATCCCAGAATGAGCTGCTGATCGACCAATTGATCTTACTCTGCTGCTCGGTGATCCTCAAGTATGTGTCCGTCTGGAATGCGTGCTCCGTGCTGTCGGACGCGTCGCACTACAACGCGGCGGCGCTCGTCGACGCCGTGCACGACTACTTGGCGGTCAACGCGGAGACGCTCCTCGAGAGCAGGATGCTCGATGACATGCGCGGCAACCTCGTGAAGCAGCTGTCGGCCTTCATCCGGCGGCGCCAGCTGGAGAAGTACCCGGTTTCCCGCTCGAACAAGCTGGTCGACGCCGCGATGGAGACGCACCGCGCGTGGCTCGCTCTGCAGGACATCCCGCAGACGATCGTCCCCAATCCCCGCGTGGGCGCTCTCGGCGATCGGGACTCGGCCAAGCTGTCTCCACCTGGGCCGATGCGGTCCTTCCCTCTAACGGCCCATGCCACGTCTGCGCCTGGAAGCCCGTTGATTCGCCCTGAAGCAACCGCCAAGCCAGCGGCGAATATGCCCGCTGACGACGAGCTCTTCCTCATGGACGAGCCGGACGCGTCCCCGGTTACGCCCATTCCGGGCAAGCCACCGGCAATCTCGGCTGTCCCAGCAGATAGCCCAAGAAAGCCTGTCGGTGGCTGGAAGGCGACCTCGGTCGTTCCCCGGTACGTACGCAGATTGTTTTGCGGGTGCGTCCCTAAGTATGCTTTTCTGCAGAGTCGACATGAAAGCCATCATGGCCGAGGCCGAAACGGCTGCGGCACCCAAGAGGCCCGCTCCTATCCCTGTTGCCCGTGTGTCTAGCGGCGGTGCGACACCTACTCCGCGGGGTACACCGCCCAGAGACGGTAGCAAGCCTCTCAAGCCACTCATCCCGCCTACGGCGACCGCAACGCCGAGGACCGTGTCGGGTTCTTCATGGAGGATTCCCAGTACTGCGAAGCCTGGTTCGTCCCCACCGAATACGGCTGCAGGTGGCAGCCGTCCCGATGCGAGTGCGAGCCTTGTGGCGAAGCGAGCACCTGCCGTTTCGCGGCCGCAGGCGTCTACGACTCCGCCGACGACTCCGAAGAAGGCTTCACGTCCGCCGGGCTTGGGTCCCGTCATCACCCCAACGAAGCAGTCTGCGCCGTCGAAATCATCACCTTCGGCCATCCGGCGTGTGTCGTGAGTAATTCTACGCTTTCTCGGCGAGCTCTTTGCTGATGCATATACACTTCAGGAGCGGAAGTGTATGGACGCCGCCGCCAGTCCAGCCGGTTGTCCAGGCATCGTCATCCACTTCCGCCATGTCCTTTGCCGCTATCCAGGAGTTGCAGCGGGAGCAGAACAATCCGGCTAAGGACAAGAGGTCCCTCGTCCACATACAGGAAGAAGAACGTGCACGACAGATCGAGGAAGATTTCTTGAAGTGGTGGGCCACGGCAGAAGCACGGCTGCAAGAAGAGCAGAAGGCTTCTTCTTCTACTGCACAAGCTGCAAGTCGGCCACGAAAGTCAAAGAAGCCGAAGAATGACAAGAATATGCCCTCTACAGCGATTCCGAGGCCCCAAGACAGCAGCCAACAAATCCCAGGCAAGAATGCGAAGCCACAGAGGAATCGTATTAACAATAAGAAGATGGCTCAGCCAGGACCCTCATGACATTGCCAGTGCTGCGATATATTTCCATGTTCTATGCTATTATGCGATATTTTACGTGAAGTTGTTAGGGCTACATGCATCCACGGAGTGGGGGTTAGATATGACTAGATGATGTACAGTTTTCTGCGTCAGTATCCTGTGCAGATTAGAATATATTACAGGTACAATGTGCGCGACTGAGTAGTGTTAACTTTTGGCCTTAAGGATTCTTTAGGATGACGCGGAAGATTCGCTGTCGGTGAGTGGTCCTACTGCTGTCGATGACCCAATGTCCGCGTCCGGTGAATGGTTATCCTTGATATCTAGTGTTGACCCGTCATTGCTGGCTCGAATAGTGACAAGGTCACCGTCCCTGCGAGAAATGATTAGCCTCAAGCTGCAATCGGAGGAATAGATGTGTGTACCTGATGGTTCCCGCTAACAGCTTCTGCGCGAGAGGGAAGAGCACCTTTGTCCGCACAACTCGTGCGATAGCGCGTGCACCATAAATGTCAGAATAGCCCTGTCGAGCAAGCCATTCACGCGCCGCATCGTCCACATCGAGTTGAATCCTCCTGCTGCTCAATCTATCCGCGACATCGTTGAGGCGCAGCGACACGACCTGAAGGATGGACTCGCGCGAGAGCTTGTTGAAGACGAGCATCGAGTCCAGACGGTTCAGTAGCTCTGGGGGGAAATATTCTGCTGTGCGCTCTAGCACCTCGTCGCGTGCTTCTGTCGTCACTATGCCATTCTCGTCTGACGCAGAGCTATGCGCAAGGATGTCGCTACCTAATTTGGATGGTGAATCTTAACAATGTGAGTAAAGTTTGCAGCATCGCTTACCCAGGTTGCTGGTTAAGCAGATAATGGTGTTCTTGCGGATTCTCAGCAATGATGTACACCACACGCCCCGGACGAGATGCATACCTTAAAGTCAACTTTGCGACCTAGAACGGTACATCGGCATTGTCAGAATGCGAGATGGCATGGATTACTCAATAAGCAGGTACCTTGCGAGTCGGTGATGCTGCCCTCATCAAGAATTTGCAGTAAAAGCATCGCGACATCCTGAGTAACAGTCAACCTTGCTGAGCCATCCTATCAAGGACGCCGACTGACCTTGTGCGCCTTCTCAAGCTCGTCAAGAAGAATGACAGCTAATAGCGTGTTATGAGTCAATCCGGTATCACTTCATGCAAATCTTTCTCAGACGATGCTCACCATACGGCTTGCGGCGGACAGCCTCAGTTAATTGACCTGTAACGGGAATCATTAGTACGGATTATATACAGGAAACTATAGCTGTAACGCCCCTCCTTCCTCGAAACCGACGTAGCCTGGAGCAGCACCTATTAAGCGAGACATCGTGTGACGGTCGTGATATTCAGACATGTTGATAGTAATCCTACATGACATGGAGATGAGACATTGTGCATTAACGCAGATGTATTCAGTTCACTTACAATCCACGCTGCTCGTCATTGAACAAGAATGCCGATAAAGCTTTGCACAGCTCCGTCTGTCCTCAAGGATGGTAAGTACTGCGGCCAGACGGCCTCACATGACCGACGCACCTTGCCTACGCCAGTTGGTCCAAGGAACAGGAAGGATGCCACAGGCCGGTTGGGTGCTTGCAGTCCCGCACGCGAGATTCTCACAGCATCGCTGACAGCAGCGACGACGTGGTCTTGCCCGACAACACGCTGGCGGAGCGTCTCCTCCATCTACACGCCAGAAAATCCCAATGAGCCACTGTCCAAAGGCAGTAATCGGATATAGGAAGTCACTACGCACATGCACGAGCTTATCTCGCTCGCCCTTGAGCAAGTTCTGTACAGGGATGCCTGTCGCCTTCGCAACAACGCGCGCGATGTCGTCCGACGTCACGCGGTCGTGCAGCATCGGCAGAGGGCCCTGTGCTTCGCTCTCGCCCTGTGCGCGCTCCGTCTCCGCGGGCAACTGCCGTTGGAGCTCGGGTATAGTTGCAAAGCGCAGCTGCGACGCACGCTCATACTGACCCTGCCGCTGTGCGATCTCGAGCTCAACCTTCGCCTCCTCAAGGCGCTGCTTCAGATCCTTGATGCGCTGCAGCCGCGCTCGCTCTGCATTAAATATACGTCATCAGCGTCCGCTGTGGCACACTCTAAACAGTGATAGCCTACGGACCTGATTGCCAGGCCGCTGTCAGGCGCTCCGCCTCCTCGCGCTTCGCTTTTAACGTCTCCTCTACTTTGTTGCGCCGCTCGACGCTGAACACATCCTGTTCGTTCCGCAGACTCTCGCGCTCGATCTCGAGCGTCATGATCTCGCGGTCGAGCGCCTCGAGCTCGTCGGGCTTTGACTCCTGCGCGAGCCGCAAGGCTGACGCTGCCTCGTCTACCAAATCGATCGCCTTGTCCGGCAAGAAACGCTCGGAGATGTAGCGCGCGCTGTACACGGCCGCTACAGGGGCGCATGAGCGACTGTATGCGGTGACAGCGCTTGGAGACGAAGAGTGCCTACCAGTGACAAGCGCACCATCGGAGATGCCTACACCGTGATGCACCTCGTAGCGCGGCTTCAGTCCCCGCAAGATTGAAATGGTCGCATCGACGGTAGGCTCTTCGATTTGTACGGGCTGGAAGCGACGTTCGAGTGCGGCGTCCTTGCCGATGGTCTTGCGGTACTCATCGGCTTGATTCGCCAATGTCAGCCTATGAAGAGTCTGCGACTGACAAGTACACACGTGTTGTTGCGCCAACAAGCTGCAGACCGCGCGCCAATGCAGGCTTAATCATCTGCCCAGCGTCGATGCTGCCCTCCGCCTTACCCAGGTTGAACAGCGTGTCTGGAAAGTTGATGTCAGCGGAGTAAACGCGGCCCATGTATTTGGTAAGGTTGTACTCACGGACTTCGTCAATGAAGCAAATTACATTGCCGGCCTATTTGGTCGGTTCTGAGCACTTATAAACGGCAACGACGATACGTGGACGTACCTGTTCCTCGATGTCACGAATGAGGGCCTTAAACTTCTCCTCAAACTGTCCGCGAATACCTGAGCCTGCCATGATTGCGGACAAGTCTATCGAGAGGACGCGCTTGTTCTGCAAGGACTATGGAGGGACGTTAACACCGCAATATTTCTCGTTAGAGCGAGAGTTCACCTCTGGTACTTCCTTCGCGACAATACGACTCGCAAGACCCTCGAGGATAGCAGTTTTGCCGACACCGGGGGGCCCGATGAGCTAGAACTCAAAAATATTAGCATGTTATATGGCTAAGAAGTCAAGTACATACTACTGGGTTGGATTTCGTCCTACGGGACAGAACTGTGTGATTTAATTATCAGAGCTCTATATATACCACAAGGGAGTCCCCTGCTTACTCTGTATTGTACGGCGAATTTCTGCAGGCGTAATATGAGACGACGTCAGCGTAGACATACATAGCGAGTCGACCCACCTTCATCTCGGCCAATTGTGGGGTCAAGTTTGCCGTTCCGTGCCAGTTCAGTTAGATCAACACTCTAAAACACATCAAACAATTCCAGATGAGAGCTATGTCAGGAGAGGTGCTGATCGGCCGAGTGCGCGCTGAGACCAAGACTAGCTGCCGGAGTCCGAAAAGGAGCACGAACGGTCCTTACGGCCGCCTGGTAGTCCAATGGACTCAGCACAGCCGCCGGCCGTCCAGTAAGGACGAGCAACTCACGTATTCCTTCAGCGCGTCTCCCTTTTGGTGTTGAGGTTGCATTGTAAAAGACGGGAAACCGCCACCAGAGCCACTTGGAGGACCTTGCGCATATGTCCGCGCAGTGATAATGGGTACAAGTGGCTGTCTAAGACATGCTGCAATTAATCTGCGAGCAGCTTGCGATGTACGAAGGATAGGATGGTTGACATAGGAGGCGGGGAATACGGCAGTACGTTTGAGAGCAGGTCGAGATATAGGAATACGTAACATAGTGGCTGTGGGTCGGGAAGGGAACTAAGAGATCGCTGTCGGTCGCAGGGTTTTATATTGCGACGTCGAGTCGGGCACGCTGCTCGTCATGCGGCACGTGTCAATGGGCGCGTCGCTTCGAGCGCGTTCGAGCGCGTTCGTCGCGTGACTCGCGTTGTTCCTACTGGCTCTTCAATTTGTTTTCTAATTACGGGAATTTATACTCCACGCAGCGTGAATATAGTCTCCTTGTTGTAGTTTGCGCTTTGCGCGCCCAGGGCAACCTGCGCCACATCCGCTTAGACGCGACCGCTTTGCGATCGTTTTGACCAAGCGTGTGCTTTGACTGTATCCCCTTAGAATACATCAAAGCACTGTACCTACGTAGTATAAGTACAGCTCGCGAACGAGCCTAATAGACATCCTCTTGCTTCTCCTGATACGGTGCGAAGTCTCATAACCCCCAATACTCCTGTGAGCAGAGTAGATAATTCCTTCAACCTGCGCGGGCTGCGGGTATCCTTATCTGACGTCTGCTAATCGAAGAGCTGTCTTACGGTTATCTCCCCTAGGCAGCCTGCAATAGAGCACCCTTTTTGATGGTCAGAGGATGCTCTTTAAAGGTCTGCTTCAATACACGCCCCCCGGACCGTAAGACAGCATTTTAAGCGTGCTAGCGATTGCCGACTGATGGCCGGGACATGCCGGCTGATGGCCGGCTGAACTTACCATAGTGTTGGTTGCAAGCTAACCACCACCTTTCACTGAAGCTCGATATGTCGCATCCATACTCACTGTGATGCATGATTCTCCGACACCATGTGATCTGCTACAGCCATGCCAATATCATGTCCCGATGGAAACACCTTCCCCTCTGTATCATGACAATTGGAACTACATAACTCAAAGTCCCTGCGGCATAACTGGTATCTGGCAGGAGAGCTGAAGCGAAAATGAGTGACTGTCACGAGTTGGCACGGCGTCTAGCTGTTTTTTAATTTTTCCTTTTTGCAGGCTTGAACCCGCGACCTATGTACTACATGCCCAATATGGACGTGTCATTATCTACTGTACAATTAGATTAGATGGGTGGCAGTGCGTGGCACAGCTCCGGCTCTGCTGACACAGCCTCTCTGACTCACCGGCCCCCAGGGCTGCGTCAGCATGCTGCGCACGGACCAGCTGCGCACGGACCAGTTGTCACAAGTTGGTACGGCGTCTAGCCGTTTTTTAATTTTTCCTTTTTGCGGGCTCGAACCCGCGACCTCTGTACTACATGCCCGATATGGATGCGTCGCTATCTACTGTACGATTAGATTAGATGGGGCGGCAGCGCACGGCACAGCTCGGGCTCCGCTGACACAGCCGCTCTGACTCACCGGCCCCCGGGGCCGTGTCGGCATGCTGCACACGGACCAGCTGCGCATGGACCAATGCGCACAGCCTGCCCTTATCTCCCCATGTATATAAGCCGGCCTCTGCTACCCTAGGGACCTCAGTTTCGACCTCTTGTCCCTAGGTCAGTAAGCTCCCATGTACTTACTTACTTATTCAATACTAACTAACTTGTCCCTAGCCTTATATTTGAGCGTTGCTCACCATCGCTTCGGTAAGAACCAGTCGAACGCCCCCAGCTTTTAGGTTTCCCCAGTCGCTTGACCTCAAGTCGTGACATTAGGTCGAAACTCCCCATAGCTGCCAGCATTCCATCGGGACTCCCACACACTCACATTCACTTCCTATAGGTTGGGTGGTGCGCACCCCTACTATACACTATGATACGTAGATAAGCATACTATACATCGCCACCACTAAGGGAACGAACTTTTCAGTACCTGCACTTCAGTGGGCGGTACTTGTCCTCACGGATGCGTGGACTAGGTTCCTGCTGCATACTAGCCAAAAGCAGTACTGGGCCCCACGTGAATTGCGAACCCTAGTGTTACCTTGGGCGCCGTAGGTGTGAGCTAGTCTAGCACGGCCTTTCGTAGCACGTGCACCTCCCCTTCCTCCCCCCATCACCGTGGCTGACGAATTCTTTGACTGCTCTCGAATCGAGCACGCCTTCGACACCCAGGAGCAAGTCGATGTCTCCCGCGACGACCCCGAAAGCAACGGGAATCGAGCTCCCTTCTTCATCTGTGACCGACAACCGTGCCCTAATCATACTCCGCAGTCCATTACCACCGACGAAGGGCGCTACGTACCGATCCGATGAGTCCAGCACCCCAGCGGCCCCGCACTCCGGTACGCTGGTACTTCGCAATCCACATCTCGTCATGTCACTCCTGTCCCATCTCGACCTGCCTCTCCAGGCACCCGCATCCCCCAACCTGTCGCCAGTACAGGTCAAGCGCGAGGAGATCCCCATCTCCCTCGAGGAACTGAGGCAGTCGCACAGCCTTCAGCGACCCCTCAAGCGATCCCCCAGTCCTCCCTGGGGCCGCGGTTGGAAAGGTCTCCCAAGACCGAGCCCCGCAACACTCCGCCGCATTCTTGGGCCGGCTCGTCATCAGCGGTCACCGCCTTGACTTCAGTCCCTATCCTACGTCACCCCACCTCCGGGCTTCCTCAATTGATTTCACCGCCGTCGCCGCCGCGAGGCCGCTCAAGCACTCGTTCCTCGAGAAGTTCACCCGGTGGCCAGTCACAACAGTCGCCTTCGCCCGCGGGCAGTCCTTCGTCCCCCTCACCGCCGGTAATGTCCTCCCCTGCTGCCGTCCCTGATAAGGAGATGCTGAAGCTCCTCCTCCCGCTCCGATATGATGGGAAGTCGGTGGTCGAATGCAACCACTTCATCTCGCAGTTGCTCATCTACTGGACAATCAACACGGCTGTCACGAGTTGGTACGGCATCTAGCCGTTTTTTAATTTTTTCCTTTTCGTGGGCTCAAACCCGCGACCTCTGTACTACCTGCCCGATATGGACGCATCGTTATCTACTGTATGATTAGATTAGATGGGGCGGCAGCGCACGGCACAGCTCGGGCTCCGCTGACACAGCCGCTCTGACTCACCGGCCCCCAGGGCCGCATCAGCATGCTGTGCACGGACCAGCTGCGCACGGACCAACGCGCACAGCCTGCCCTAATCTCCCCATGTATATAAACCGGCCTCTGCTGCCCTAGGGACCTCAGTTTCGACCTCTTGTCCCTAGGTCAGTAAGCCCTCACTTGTATTCCTTTCTTACCTTACTAACCAATACATTTACTTGTCCCTAGCCTTAGGTTTGAGCCTTGCTCACCATCGCTTCGGTGAGAACCAGTTGAACACCCCTCGCTTCCAGATATTCCCCTGTCGCTCGACCTCAAGTCGCGATATTAGGTCGAAACTCCACAAGCGACCGGCGTTCTCTCGGAACCCATACACTCACTTTCCTTTCCCATAGGTCGGGTGGTGCGCACCCATATGATACATTACAATACGTAGATAGCCTACATACATCGCCAACACCAAGGGAACGAACTCTTCAGTACCTGCACTTCAGTGGGCGGTACTTGTCCTCACGGACGCGTGGACTAGGTTCCTGCTGCATAATAGTCAAAAGCAGTACTGGGCCCCACGTGAACTGCGAGCCCTAGTGTCTTCTCAGGCGCCGTAGCGTAAGCTAGTGTAGCACGGCCATTGTAGTATGCACACCTCCCCGTCCTTCCCCCATCCACCGTGGCTGCTTGTCAGGGCCAGATCCACGCATTCGACTCACAGGATCTCATCGACGTCTACATCCCAGACGGCCTTGAGACTATCCTCCACCGTTGCGAGCAGCAGCCGTGCCCAAATCGGACACCCCGATCAATCGAGGAGGATTACCCTCGTTACAAGGCGATCCGACGAGCGCAACACCCGCTCGGACCCCAAAGCACCCTCGCATCTCGATCGGCCTTGTGGCACTCTCGCCCTGTCTCCCCTACCTCCCGCCTCCCTCAAACTGTCGCCGATCAAGCGCGAGGAGATCTCCCTCCAGACCCT